GTTCGATGACTGCGACTGCCGCTCAAAGTCCCCGCCACACGCTTCCCCGTTTCAGCACATGAACCCGGAGCCTGCAAGTGCCAAGTCAGAACGTAGTTAAAAATAAGAAACACAAAGAGCCAGAAATCTGGGACCACCCGCTTTGTCAAACCGCTGCCCGCAGAGAAGAGTCGGCCTGACTGCTTGGGCGCTTCATCTAAGAAATGCCCCCAAAGCGCATTTTGCTACTGATGGTCTGAATGGGTGCTTTGCAAGTATCAGTGCCCGTGGCTGATACTTTCACAGAACAGTCTCAACTACCACTAAACCACACAAGCCCCACACAGCCGTAAACAGAACTCCTGAACCCAAAGCATGTAAAACGCACTCTAGAAAAACCCTAGAAGTCCTGCCCCCCGCCAAACAACCAAACAAGAGAGAAACAAGCGAGCAACCGACACCCTCAAATCGCAGGGGGCCTACAGCATCATAAGATCCACTTCAAGGCCCCTCAGCGTCCGGCAGGTTCTCGCGGATCTCGCAGGATGCACCATGGCTGCGGCAGATCTGGGCGGCTGCCTCCAAAAATCGGACGTAGAGCTGATAGGAATTTAGGCTTGTTTAAATTAAAGCTGTTACGGAAAATTCAGGACTTTCAGGGCTCATAGATTGTTCAGGGTTTCCTGTCCGTCTTCTTTGGGCCTTAGGGCTTTAGGGTTTTTGGAGCTTCAGGGCTTCAGGGCGGAGCGAGGAGGGTTCGAGGCGGTGTTGGGGCTTCGAACCCAGGGTTTCGGAAGTGGATAGCATGATGAGGGAGACCCCTGAAAAACAGCAAAGCTAGCCAAAAAGCCAAAGTTGCTGGTCGCTGGCTGAGCCCTGGGGCGGATCTCTCGCAGACACTTTCATTCCAAAGCAATGTACCTGAAGACACAGAGTAGTATTAAACATGATCACAAACGTGGTCTGGACCACGAATCACTGTACCTCATGCCCCATCAACCAAAAATCTTATGGACTCAAGATATTCCGAATATAAACCCCTAACCCAAACCCAAAAAAAAGCACAAACCCCCAGAAAAGCGCCCAAAAATCCTTGTCCCGGAAGCTTTACAGGAACCCTGAAAGGAACCCCTACACGAATTCTCAAAGGAACATGTAAAGGACCCCTAAACCCCTTAACCCCTTAACCCCTAAAACCCCCTAATAGATCCGTGAAAAATCAAGTAAAGGCACCCCTAGACGAACCGTGAACCGTGAAAGCCCTGCTCACTCCACAGGCCTGGCGCTGCCCACCTGACGTGGACTGATCTGGGGTTTAGGGCTCAAAACATTGGGGTGTTAGTACAAAACCGGGGATTGCAGATCCGGTTTGGGGAGTAGAAATTACGGGCTCAGGGTTGAAGAGGTTTTGGGGGTTTTTGCGTCAGGGGTTTCGGGTTCGGGTGTTGAGGTTTACGGACTTCCAGATTTGCAAATTTGGAAATATAGCGGTTTAGAACCGTCCCAAAACCAGCCACAAACCAAAACTAACAGCGAAGCCCCAAAGCTCCTTATGCAGCCCTTGTAAAACCCTTCAGGGATCCCGTTCTGGAATCCTAAAAAGTTCTAGGCTCCTGGCTCCAAAATTCCAGAACCCGGCCGCGGCCGCGGCCGCGGCCGCGTCTGCCTCCTCGGCGCCTTCAGTCGCAGAGGAGTTCTGAAGGACTTCCCAACGGGTCCTAAGTACCTATGTACCCATATGGGGCATACTTGCCAAGGCTGAAGAGTTTTGGCTCCCGGGTGTGCGGATGCCGCCTCCCACCTGGGTGGGAATTGGCCGTGGCCTTCGGTCTCGGGCGCCCCATTCTGGTTAGGGTTTAGGGTTTTAAGGTTGAGGGTCTTGGGCTTAAGGGTTGTCGGGTCTAGGGTTTAGGGTTAGACGGTTCTAAAGTATGGGCTTAGGGCTTTAGGGCTTTAGGGTTTAGGGATTGAGGGTTTTAAGCTTTATAGGGTTTAGGGTTCCAGGTTTTGGAGGTTTAGGGTTGAAGGTTTAGGGCAGGGTTTAAGTGTTTAGGGTTTATGGTACGTAGGGATATTCCGCAGCACCCGCGGGGATATCCCTATTAAGCGGACTTTGGCAACGCAGAGCTGTGATGTGTAAGTGTAGGGTTAAGGGCTTCTAGGGCTTGGAACTAAGCTTCGTTTGATAAGGCCCACTGTGCGTAAAGGCGGAGATCTTTGGATCAACCACTGGGGCCTCGACGGCATCTTCCAATCAGACCTCGGCACAGCATGAATGATTATGTGTGCTTATAAGTGTGTGTATATATATACATAAAAACGTATATACATATGATATATTTTTCTTATATATATATATATGTGTATGTACCTTATGCATGCATAGATGTGTTTACGTATGTACGCATGTGCATGTATATGTACGGAAAGAAACAGGAAGATAAGGCATAACAACTGGCTCGTTGACGGATTAAGTCACTCAATTAAACAATACATAAAAACACTCACGAATACAGAGACGAGTATGCATATAGTATATATATATATATATATACATAGGGAGAGGCACAGAGAGACAGCACGAGAAGCGACCTCCATATCACCATGACATGGATTCCGCTTCGTGCGTACTGTAATGGCCAACGCGAAGCGACCTCCACGTCACCATGACGTGGAGTCCGCTCAAGGCCTGCTATGCGCCGGGCGGTACTGGAGCAGGGCAGGGCAGAACGGTGTTGGGCCCGATCTTGAGCCGAATGATAGCACAAGATCACATCTGCGAATGGATGCTTTCTTGCTTATTGGGACCGAAACCCTCAACCCCAAACCAGAATGCCAAACGAAACCCCAAAAGCCTAAAGCAAAAACCCTAACCGAAACCCTAAACCCTGAAGCCTAAAGCCGAAACCCCGGGTTGGAGTTTGAGAAAGCGAGGGCCCTCGTGTATAGACCTTATGAATATTCAGAGGCTGCCCTACGAGTGAGGTAAACCGCCTGGGCCGAGCCCTGCGATGCTTTCGGGTTTGGTGTTTCAGGCTTCGGGCTGTAGTGACTGCAGTGCCAAACCCTGCTTTAAGCTGCTGGGACCGCTGGGGCGTTACGGCTCTTGGCGCCCATGGCGTCTAGGGGTTGTTTGGCGCCGATCCCGAAACCCACGACCTTTTGTAAGGCGGACTGCTTCACGACCCGTGCCCTACAGCAGTGGCTTGCAGTCTGCCGGTACTCCCAGATCCGATTTTCGACTGAAGAGCGTGCGAGGCTGCAACGGCTGCGAGGTGACTCTGCTACTGCCACCCAGGGCCGCACAGATGCTGCGCGAGGATTGGGTGTGGATCGAGATTTTGAAGGGTAAGGGCTAAAGCCGTACACAAGAAGCACACATATCTAATTCGACTGCCCAGAAGTGGGTCCAACCCCCAGGCTTCCCGACTTCATGCATTGGTCAATTCGTCAGAAGAAGACTCATGAAAGATTCCCGAGTGGTTGAACCATGCAGAATTTCCGCTCAGGTCCTGGCACTCCGGGTCTTGCCCGTAAGCCAGATCCTGAAAGCTGTTTGGGCTCTTGCGCTTTAAGGGGTTTGAGAGACGATGGGGTATCAAAAACAGGTTGGAAGGTTCATGTTCCGCAGTTCTGGGGGTTTGGCCCTGATGGTTTGAGGCTTCGAGCCAAATTAGGCTACCCGGCTACCCATCTCTACACCTCCCAGTCCACGACCAAGGTGACGAGATGAGTTTTGCATGGTCCACTTTGTGAGACCTCGCGCTATTACATCAAACCGAAGACATCTTGCAACACAAGAACCTGTTCCCTGGGCTCTCTAGAAACATGGCCGAAACACTCGCAAACAAAACACACAGCCAGAACCCTAAGATCCAAACCCCTGAAACTCCGGAGCAAGGCACAACCACCCTCAAGCCCCTTCCTCTTTCCCATGAAACCTCCAGCCATCCCTCTCACTCTCCCTCCTCCCACTCCTTGCCTCCGTCCCTCCTCCCTCTCTCCCCACTGCGGCGCCTGGGGGGCCTGGGCATTGCTTGGAGCGGGTTCCCAGGCCTCCCAACGCAGCCACAAAACAAAAGCTGACCAAATCAAGGGTTTGAAAGAGTGATTGTATGAGGGTTACTACAAGGGATGCTTTATCCGAAGGCACAGCACAGGAGCCTGAAGCATGTTGCGGACAAGCTCGGTAGATGCTGGTGGTACTTGTAAGCACAAGTTCTGTCCATCTGGTGTCAGGTAAGAGGCTTCAGATTCAGGAGATGTCTTGGCTTTGCCGCTTCGCAAAAAGCAACCGCACGACAACCGTTCCCCACAAGAAGGACCATCAGTGACCATCATAATTTCATCTAAACCCTAGAGCCTAAGACGAGCCCCTGCTATCGCAGAAAGCCAGTCCCGAAGGACCCAGCCTCAGGCTACTCAAGGGTGGATGGGAGGACTTACTTAGCCTGATATTGCTATTGAGACAAGTCGAACCCGATCTAATTCTTCCGCAGAGCCGTTGACAGTGATGATGGGGATGATGCTTCGGACAAGGATGCACATGGGATGTTTCCAAGGCTGCCAGGCCGCCTGCCTAAGTTTCCGCAGCCTTCGCAGCTCCGTCTTTACGGGATACCCCGTCTCTGGAAACCTGAAACCTTGCAGACCTCAAACTACAAAGCCTAAGCCTAAACCCCAAAGTCTGATAAGAACCTTTCTAGAACCCTTTCACAAGGCGTGCGACAAGCACTAGGCAGAGTACATCTAAACAGGCTTCCGCTTCATTTTCTCTTGCCCACATGCCATTGTCAGGCGTTGCCCACTCCAAGCAAAAAAGAGTTCACCTTGAACCTGCTCCGACTGCCTCTTAGGGTTCACGGTGGAGCACTCAGGTGACCCACGCAAAAGAAGTCACCACTCGCCAATATCTGCAGCACCTTACCCAGCGCCTGCAAGATAACCCACTGCCAAGATAATATTGACACAGTGGCACGTCTGGCAAATCGAGCCATGCTTATCAGGCCTCCGCATGTTGATTACGGGCTGCGCGAGCAAGACGGCGCTGCTTCTTCTTGTTCGCTCAACCGCTTCAACCCCTTGGGCATGTTCCGGGACTGCTCCAGCACGTCCGGATCTGTTTTGAAAATATAGGCCGCAGAATTCTTGGCCGGCTTCTCGTTGGGCATCACCTGTGGGTCGGGCAGACTGGCAAAGTGCACAAGGATGATTACGGGACAAATGGTTCCCTGTTTTTGGCACGAAACACAAAGCCGTCGACTTTGCCTCTCCCTCATAGGAGTTGCTGCTCCAGGCCGCAGAGAGGCTTGGTAGCCTGCACTTGTCCGCGTGAGCTCATGAAGAACCTCGTGGGACAGATCTTGCTAGTCAAACACCTGAATCACCGGAGACGGCCAGAAATGCCAAAAAAAACGAATTCGTAGACTGAATAACAACCAACTGCAAAGCCAATTGCAAAATCAGCGGGGGCACTGCGCAAAAGTACCCACCGCCTCCAGCTCCGGCATGTTCTTCAACTGCAGCTCGAAGTAGGCGCTTGGCTCAGCATCTTCTCGGGACCGGCAAGAGCATGAGCGCAGAACAACACCATCTTGTGGCAAATGCGGCATGGTCGTCTATGCAGGCTTTAATCATGTTCGTTCTATCTGACAGGCCTGTGCATGTGTGCAAGTCATGCATCGTTCAAAAAGCAGTTCGACAAGACCCGTGAAGTACTCATGGCTTCTTCTCTAGCTGTGAGATGCAGTGAAGCTGGCTTTGAATGTCGGGCTGCCGGTGCTGACAGGTTGAACCGATATCGAGCCATCTCCGAAGCAGTATGAGCCATACTCGTCAAGTACTCCAGTTCCAGCAACTCGCATTTCGAGCTTACCATGTAGCAGCGCATGTCCAAATTGAGTAAACAAACGTCGACGCGACACTCAGTCACCTTAACCGCGTTGTACATGCGGGGTTTGCAACTTACTGGCCTTCGAAGCCCCATCTGTAAGCTTTTGAGCACCTGAGCGGCGAAAGGGAGCGATTCGGGAGTTGGGTTTCAGAATATTGTGGGTTTAGTGTGCATGGGCAGCGTCGACTGCCTCTTTTTTGTCGACAAAGCCGGAAAAAACACACACACACACACACATGCACGGCTGCCCCGTAGTCCTCGAACTGTCTATGTGGCCTGGCTTTAGCGTTAAACTCCTTCGTTTGATGCTCAATCTGAACCAAACATTGTCCGGGCCTTGCTGAAGTGTTAAACTCATCAGTGTAATCCTGAATCTGATTCGGCTGAACCGGGCCGGGCACTGTCCTTTGCAGTGTCTCGGCATAAAGCTGGGTTTCCTCAACAAGGCGGTTTCGTGCATCTTCGTTGGTCTTCTCTGATGCCTTAGCATGATATAAGCGAAACGAAGTTTGACGATATGCACGGGCTATGAGGGAATACAGTACTATCATGATTGCAAGGATTGTGGGTAGTACTCTGGTCAGTTTCATGGCTGGGCATCCAAACGCTTCGTTGCAGCTCTGAACGCTGTAACCCCGCAGTTTGGGACCTGGGCTCCCCTCGTGCTGTCCTCGACCGAGACCCCATCCCAGGCCCCCCAAACCCTCAACAAGCCTTCGACCGTCCCCAGACTGTGCCCAACTCAGCAGAGGCCGAAGGCCTCCAATAAACATCGCCAAAGAAATCTGTCCTCAAGACGAGCAAAAGGCAGAGACCCGGAAAAGACCTACCTACAAGCATAATGGTACGCGAAAGTAAGCCTCACACCCAGCCATGCTGACCACGATCAGGGCGAAGGTAATCGCAAGGCACGAGATCCAGAGCCGGCACAACTGAGGAAACCCAGAGACTGCTTCGACTTCCTCCTGCCCGAAAATCTGAGGCCTGCACGCTCTTCGAAAGAGCTTGTGCTGTGGTCCTAGCAGCATTCGGCACATTCGCACATGGCGCATTAAACTCCTCACAAGGTGTCCTCAAGCGTGGCAAGAAGGTCATCCCCCTAATGACTCGGAGGACCTGCTCCACTGATTGACACACGAACGATCGCATGATGTTGGGTGTGCAGTTCGTTTTTCTCTCCCCCACTCTACCCCTGTAATGGCTTCGGGAATGAGCCGCAGACCCGGAAAATACGGAGGACTCTCATCGTCCTCACGTCTTGTTCGGAAATCACCTGCAATGCTGAGCATGAGCCAAGCGAGACCAGCCCTCGGGCGCTGCCTAAACGATCTTTCTTCAGCTAGACTGCAATTCACTCCAGACGCATCCGTAGATGAGGCTGGAGCTTCTGCAGCGAAGGGCCCACAAAAGTAAAAATGACCATGTTTGCGGAGGCCAGAACAGATTTCTTGCCCAAGATCCAGAATCCAGAGCCAGGCTCCGCACCACCATCACGTCTCTCCAGTTGGAGGGCTCTTTCAAGTAGCAGCGGTTCGGAGCATCGCCTCAAGCTTGTGCTTTGGGCGGATCGCGCGCGCGCGCGCGAGCGCGCGCGAGCAGATGCCTCGGAAACTTGAGACTGCGGCCGAAGAAAAGGCCCCGGGCAATCTGGCATGTGCAGCCGATGGTGAAAAGAGCCTGGACATCTAGAAGAGCGATGACTGAAGGTACGAAGTGACCGCCCAGGAAGCATCTCATATAGGTCGCCCCACCAATAAATGCTAGACATATTACCAGGACCACGCAGGCGACCACAAGCAGGAACTAAACCCGCAGGACAAATCAGAAAAACAAGACCGGAATTCGGCCGCTCCATCAATTGAGGCGTTTTAATACATCCCAGGAACGCTGCGTATCGCTGCTTCCCGATGGCTCTCCAAATCTCACGTCTCCGTGCTTTAACTTCCCGGCACTGCACAATTCCGCCCGGTCGGCCGAGACCAGCGTCTCAAACACAAAGTAGGTGTTCTCCACACCTGCAAGGAGCAGGATGTGAAAATCTGCGGTGCGCACGGCGCACGCAAGTCCGTCCGACGTATTCGGGTCGGCCTCTAGGCTGACTTGCCTCGTCGTATGCAACAGGAAGTGCCATGACCTGGCGAGCAGAAAGCTTCAGACGTGAAGGACAGCTCAAGCTGGCAGAGGCCACCAAGGCGTTACAGATGATCTGGATGATGACGAAGCTCTCGAAAACACTGGTGCGAGGCGGTGCAACACTGAGAGACTTTGCCATGACCACTCTAATGAGTGGTATGCAACAGAAGGAGAGCGGCACGCAAGCAGTTGCCTCCACTCGACAAGCCACAGCATTGGGTGGCGGAAGCGCTCAAACATTGGGATCTCCTCGCGAACAGACTCGAAGCAGCGCGAGTCTTGTGCGAAGTCTTGCTGTTCCGCTTCTCGGGAGCGTCGCTCGCCTCTCTGAAGAAGCCGCAGAAAACTTTCAGAAGCCGTAGCTCTTTGCCGTGCACCGTTGCCTCAAACAACACACGGCATCACATGTCTTGTGTGAATTCGGTAGTGGCCCTCCGTGATAACTTTCCACTGGCATAAGGCTCGGACCGCCCAGCAGTTCGCATCTTGCTTGGCTTTGTCAAGCACATCCTACCGCTATGGATGGCTCAAGCGAAGCTCACGAGACACGCAAAGACATGCAGGCTCACCGGGTAGGCATCGTAGAAGGTCATCCGACACCGATGACCTCAAAGCAAAACTGAAGATGACAAGGAACTGATGGAGCCCCGGCTTTGGAAGGAATCGCAATGGCTTCAGACTGCCACCATGCAGCGTCCTCTGTTGGAGACTTCGCCTTCGTGAAAGTCGGATGGCACGGAGAATCCCAACGAGGCTTGACGACATGAGATCGTCTTTGCCAGGCAACCGCTGCTCAAGATCTGCTATGTGGATGTCTGCCGCCATGGCCGCTGCGCCGCCTCGCATTTCGAAAGCTCCGTAATACTGTTCGTGCCGTGGCATGCAAAGAACTTGCAACTGGTCCGGCCTCAAGTGGCAAGGCACACAGGCTCGCAAGGTGAGCAATGCACGAATGTGTGAAAGGAACTGAAAGAAGATAGATATGTCCGGACTGTATTTCGGCAGCTGTTGAGCTAAGCATGAACAGTGATTCGGCTGACTTGCTATCTCTCTTGGCTGATCTTGGCTACATCGTCCTGCTGGTTGGCACTGCGGCCCGCTGGGATCCTAGCTACTGTCCTATCTAGGGCCCGTCACCTCCATGCAGTTTTGAGAGGCTTGGGCGTCAAGGCTGACCTCAGCCTGCGACTCACATTACACTGGTCCGAGAAAGCTTGAGATGCAAAGGGCTCGCACCGTATGGGTGGGTCCCTCCTCCGGTCTCGGGCCAAGCGTTGCGACGGCAATGCACAGCTGGAGCAAACTCTGCCCCAACCTTGTCAATCTGTGCCGGGCGGCCACAACAAGCAGCAGTGGAGGCTTTTTTCTCACCACAGCAGCTTTGTGCTAAATGAGGAAGTCTAGGTTGCACCAGTTCCTCAGACACTAATGCCGAAGAGCCTACGTTTAACGTTGGCACAGCCTCAATGTCAAGAAGAAACGCTTCTTGCACATGTTGGCTCGCCAGAGTCTCAAGCTTGTTCGCGAGACAGCTGGTGGCTTTCAGGATCCAGGTCCCTTAAGGGAGAGTGCATTCGGAAGATTTCATGTTTGCAGAAACAAAGTAACATTGTACTCGGATCTGCAGGGAAGCGACATCGGTCTCTCAGGCACTTGCCAAGAGCTCCTGAACCTAAACGTAACTCTTCACATCCGCTCCCCAAAACTTGTCCACCATCATGAACTTGCAGTTCGGCTACCCACGATCCGACGTCTAGCGCTCTCGACTCTTCTCAAAGTATGTACCAGATGTGATAGCTTGCTACGTCATGCAATCTGTAAACCCTAAACCCTAAACCCTCTGCGATACGCATATAGGAGTGGGCAAGGTCTGCGAGATGGCAGCAACGCTTTGCCGGTCGCGAGGTCGGTGGTGCAAAGGCTAGAATCATAACTTTCGTAGGGGGACGTCAGAAACGGAAGCATGCGCTTTGCGCACCGCTGCAGTTTCAGCAGTGGGCATGATGATGCCTTCCAGACTGTTGCAGTATTATAGTATTGGACAGATATGGATGGGCCTTAGCCATGAACCCAAACCCTGAGCCCTAAACCTCCCTAAACCCTAAACCTTTGCATCCGCACTTGCCGTCACTGGTATTGAATGACCTGCATGTCGGGGCCGGAGCTTTGCGGTTGCGGGGGGCGGGGGGAGACAAGGGGTTTTGGGTTTAAGTTATAGGGTTTAGTATGGTTTGTAGGATCCTGGAAAAACCCTCAATTCGACGGTTTTTTTCTGATTTCTGTTTGTGTTTGGGGCATCCAGGGCACAGGGCAGAGGCAGAAGCTTTTTGGTAGGTTTTAAGAACCGCAAATCCAAAGCCTCAAATGCAAAGCCCCAAAATCTTTGTTCGCACTTTAGGGTCACTGCGAGCCGAACCCACAAACCTCCTTGGCTTCTTTAGGGTTACGATTTAGGGCGATGAGAGGAAAATCACGAAACAGCATCGCCGCATCCGGTACGAGAGCTGAGAAGGATGGGTTCAGGACGCAGGGTTCCTTCTAGGAGTTTCCTGAAAAACGCCAGAAAGACCCTGCAAAGCCCATGCAAAGACCGTCATAAAAGCCTGGAGTATGATTCCCATTGTTCGTCACTCACTGGGTTAAGACTTCAAGCTTTGGGGATTGAAAATATCGTGGAGCGACAAAAACCTTCCTAGACCTGCACCACTCTCAAGATAGCTTGCAAAGCCTGGCAGGGATCCCATACAATGCTGGACACCCCGGCCCGCAAAAGACTCTACGTCACATGCAGATATCATGTAGTACAACGCTTCGACAACCCGGTTATGTAGGGGCCTCAATAATTAGAACAGGGTTTGGGGGCCTTTATAGTATAACTATAAGAAGGAGCCCCAAGAAATATGTTGGCAATTATTTAAGCCTCTGTATTACACAAATCGAGCGCCAAGTATAACTCTCAAAACCAAATCCAAGCCGTGCACAATCTGGAACCCTAGAAAAACCCTTCCAAACCTATTGAAACCTTACAGGAGGAAAAAAAACACCCAGTGAAAACGTATACATCTGTAAGGACAACAACTTCCAGACCCCAACCCAGAACCGCCGAAGCCTGACTTCCTCAAATCCTCCACCGTATCTTTGGTTCTGGTCATTTGTCGCCCTTCCGGCCTGTCCGTAGACGTCCATCGCCCCTGGCATACCCTTTCCGCCCATTCCTGGGGCGGCAGGGCATATGTTTGAGGCTTCTTCCGCCTTTAATAGTGGTGTCTGCCATGGTGTATCAGGGACCCTCAAGCAGGGTTTGACGGGGTTTTGTTCTCTATGACTCTGTGATGTTGGGGAGGTCTTTGAGTTTCGGCGCCCTTGAAGAGCTCGAGTTCTGCTCCCGTAGGGTTTTAAGGTTAAGTAATAATTAGAAACGAGTTCCTATAAAGGCGTCTATAAGGGGTCTATAGGGCGAGGAGCCCTTCATAAAATCTGGGGGGGGGGGGTCTGACAGAGCAAGCAACAGGTCAAGGCCAGCATCGGCGAGAAAATCCCACAACGAGATCGAAGTTTCACTTGCTTTGGGATTGAGAAGCTGACTACAGTATCCAGCCGAGACCCCACACCCTAAACCATTCGATGCAAACCCTACATCCCCAACCACTCCAAACATTGATCGAAACGCAAAAATGGAAGTTTCCGAAAATGGGGGATCCTATATAATATAGCACTCTGGCTAGTAGGATTCCGTTTTACCAGGACCTCAAAATCAGGTACCCTAATTCTCGGAAACTCCCAAATACATCATCCCCAAGTCAGCCCCTCCCGGGAGCCAAGCGAATTGACGTCAGATCGTCCATTCCCAGCGGTTGCCTGGGTCCGAGAGGTTCGCAGGCTTCACGGAAGCTGTCTGCAAGCTTGTGAATAAACCCCCCTATATGGAGTCAGCAATCGAAACTGCAGCGTGGGGCTTTGCGTTTGGGGTTTAACGATAGTCACCCATGCTACGACCCAAGCAGCAGAGCCCGGCGCCTTTCTGAAGCTGAACCTTCACCCCTAAACGAGGAGGCCCTCTTTTTATTCTGCATAGCGGAGTTTCCGAAAATAGGGGTACCTTATTTTGGGTGTCTTTATAATAAGGATCCTACTATAGGGTACTACATTAGGGTCGGGCAGAGCACAGGGTCCTGGGCTACCTGTAGCCAAACCCCTGCCTGTGGGGTCCAGGGATACCTGTGGCCAACTCCTGTTGCGACCCGGAGGGCCTTGGGGTCAAAGAGCAGACTTGTCTAGACCCCAACCTCCCTTAACGCCAAAACGCTGAAATCTCCAAAATCCGCCATCCGCAAACGCTGAAGTCACTAAGAAACTCCAAAAGCTCATCGATCAGTCGAGCCGCAAGGAGAGCAGCATCACATAATGAGACCCCAACCCCTGGAGCAGTTTTGGGGTTCAAGTCTCAGAGAACCAATCCCCAAAAGCGCCTCGAATAATACAAGGGCCTTCATAATTAGAATAGGGTTTTTAGGGCCCATTATACGAGAAGCGTAATGCGTAATAAGCAACCCCTAATAAAAAAACGTATTTCGGCCCCGATATTATCCTCCAAACTCTCTCTCTCTCTCTCTCTCTGTCTCTCTCTCTCTCTCTCTCTCTCTCTCCCTCTCTCTCTCACCCTTGCCCTCCTCGAAGGCGCTGCCCTTGTTGCTGGGAGCCCCGGCGCGTAGGGAGACTGCGCCATGCCCGCCTGGTGCTTTGAGGCTGGGGGTTCAGGGTTTAGGGTCTTTCCCTCCTACCTAGGGTCTAGGATTTAGGGTTTTTTTTTGGGGGGGGTCTAGGGTTCAGAGTTTAGGAGTTCGTGGTTTAGTCCAGTTTTTTACGACCTCGTCCTCTTCGCGAAGAAACTGGAAGCTGACATGTTTTTGAGATAGTTGTCAAGTTGGCTCATGTGATGGAAACCTCTGGAGGCTCTCGGCATCCCAGCCCGAAAAGGGACCCCAAGTTGGGAGCATCCTGAATAAGGCACGCCAACACTTTGCCAATAACTGTACACCAGAAGCACGAAAAACCCTCCCCCTGGCCCCGCCACAAGAAAAAGACAACATTGAGTAATGTGCACAAGGTCTTCTGGGAAGTGAGAACCAGGGGGTTCTTGATCAGGTTCCTACAGTACCTGGTTTTTACGAGCTCTTAATCCAAGCTCCTAGATGTCAGTCCTCGGCAGGGTTGCGACGTCGGATTCATAAAGGACCCTGGGCGGTGTGTGTCAAGAGCGCTGTCCTGTCCTTCGGAGTTTTCGGACGTTACGAGCTTCCTTCACGATTCAGTTTTGAGCGCACGGGGCTTTTGACCTCGGTTTACTGGGCCGAGTTGTCCCGCTGCAACCTTGCACCCTCAATCGCAAGACCTAAGCCCGGAGCCGCCTCAATCATTAGAATAGGGATTTGGGGCCCAATATACTATAAATATAATAAGGAGCCCCAAATATAGCATTGGTAATTATTTAGGCCCTTCTAGTACAGACCCGAAACCGCACCGTGTTGAAACTTGAACCTCGAAAGCTCCGGCCTGTGGGTGCGCATAGCGACTGGCATCCGGCGGTGCCCCG